CCACTAATAATATAATAAATTTCCAGAAAAGAAATATATCAACCTACCGATCCTACTGTAATATTAAAACTAAAATAAATTAATTTAATGGCAATGAATACCAAAAAAAAAACCTATGAAATATATTTAGTAATATAGGTTACCAGATCATTTTCTAGAATTGTTTTTCATACATAATGATAATATATCATTAAATTCAAATTTAACACACCCGTAATTATTGTGATCCAATCGACAACTAATGTACACCAGAGTAATAATACCCACTTCACACTTGCCTAGGTACCTATTTTTCTTAATTAGTATTTTTTAATTACAATGAAATAATTAAAATTGTTTAAAGAAAATTTATAATTTTTGTTTAAATATCAAATGTTTTCTAATTTTTAATTTCAAATATTTTAATTTTTCTAGAACAGTTTATAAACTAGTATTACTTTTTACACTTTTAAACACTGAAAAAAATTCAACATATTATATTATATTAAATCTAAGAGTCTAAAATAACAATCATCTTTAAATAGATAGTTAAAAAAAATCCATATTATTTTGAAAACTACTATAAATATTGGGTAAAAACTGAAAATATTAAGTATCTTCAACTAGTTTTTTTTTTAATTGCAATAAAAAAAATAATTTTATCAAAAGCTAAAAATATTAATTTCCTGTAGTTTTAATGATTCTATTAAATCTATTTATGACCACAGTACAAATTAGATAATTTTCTACCAGAAATCACCCTCAAAATTTAAGATAGTAGCATTTTATAACTTTAAGACTTAATAACAAACATATTAAAAAAAAAACATTTCGTAGTAAAATCAATACTTTCAACGCTCTAATCTAGAAAATAATATTACCTTCAAATACTGTCTACCTGCATTCTAATTTATAAAATGATTTTATAGTAAAAAAAGATGAGTAGTATTTGTAATTACTTTTTTTTACTGAGTATTCAAACATATAAATATTATTTATACATTTAAATACTTTTCAAAATAAGTAATTGTAATTCTTCATAAAGAATCATTCACACTACTGTTTAAAACCACTGATATAAATGTTTTAAGAAAATGTTGTAGACATTCAAAAATTGATTAAAATAATAACAAATGCTTCAAAAACATTAAAAAAAATAAAAATACTTATCTGGGGTACATACAGGAAATATAATTTTATACATGTCATTATTTTATTCTTCATGATATTAAGTATTATGTACTTATACTATTATGTAATTTTATACTTGTAATGTAGGTATTCAATTTTATAGAAAAAACATTTTAGTTATATTATATATTATTATATGTCATGATATTGCTATTAAAATATTTATTTTTTTCATATTATTTATTAATCATTAGTAATACAGAAAGTTGCATTAATTATTATAATAGTATATACTTATATCAAATATTATTGTTGTTAACTTTTCAAATCAAATTTGTCTTACTGTAGAATCGTATGAATAGGTTTATGGTACAAATAGTCATGAGCATAAAAATATTCTACTTCAGTAAAAGTTTCAAACTCACACAAATAGTATTTGTAAATTAAAACAAATTCTTTGCTTAAATATTTAATTTTATTCAAATTTGAACTTAAAATATTCATGGAAAAATGATTTTTATACTTTTTAGAGCATAGATTCTCAACCTTTTTTGGTCCATGGACTCTTTCAAAGTACAAAATATAATCAGGGACCCCCGCCAAAAAAAAAAAAATTTATACATGTAATCAAATAAATGCGAGCAAGACATTATTATTGTTATCTTAAAAACGCTATTGAAACAATGTATTTCTGGGCAGACCCTCGAGTAACCATCTACGGACCTCCAGTTAATAACCTATGTTTTAGAGTTTAGTATAAGCTACTAATGAGAAACTTTATGTTAAATTTACAAGTATTTTGAAGTATATTAACAATTATATTGAAAAGAAATTAAATATTACAAACATTTTGTATTTAAATGTCACAACATAATTTTAAATATTTATTATTTGTTATCTAATAGTATTTATATTATAGATTTAGTTCTTAACTATATTTATATTAAGTAGGTAAATAAGATAATGATTAAAATAAATTACAGAAATTTATAGTATGTAAACAAATAATCAATCTTATTTTTAAAGTTTAAAGATATATCTCGGTATTGAATCATATGTATTTCCACGTGTCCTTAAACACTAAAATTAAAAACCGTTTATAATATTAAACATCTTATTAATTATTTGAATAAAGATTACATATTTATTTGACACCGAAAAAATATTTATGTTCTAAGACTATGATACAAAGATTCTTAGGGTCATCAATCATAAATGATTTAAAAATTTTCTATCCACTTTTATATATTAAATATTATCTGAAATAAAAAAAATAATATGTATATACAGAGTGTCCCACGGAGTTCTGACAAATGAAATAACTTGAAATCTAATCAATATTTTTTAATTTTTTTTTTATATATAATTAATAGACGCTTGTAATACACGTATGATATAAATTTTTTTTTTTATAGTAGGAAAAATAATAAATTTTAAATTTGATTTAAGTTTTTTTTGAAAAAATTAAAAATAGCCTATTTAGAAACATATTGAAAAAAAAATGTTTAACGTTTACAGTATTTTATTTGAGTTATCCGTTTGCGACTTATTAACATTTAAATATTCGTTCATTTTACTGCTACTGAGCAATTTATAAAACCCAAAAATAAAAACCAGAAGTCAAAATGAAATTATATCTCAATTTAAAGATGCCGATAACGGCGATTATCGATAATAACTAATATGCAAAAAGTGAATGGTCATAGGAATTGGACATTTGACCTATATAATCTGACAATCTGTGTATTATCTTAGTTACTTATCTTAGATTCATTTTGACTTCTGGTTTTTATTGTTGGGTTTTATAAATTGCCCAGTAGCAGTAAATTGAATGAATATTTAAATGTTAATAAGTCGCGCAAACGGATAACTCAAATAAAATACTGTTAACGTTAAATACATTTTTTTTTATATGTTTCTAAATAGGCTATTTTCAATTTTTTCAAAAAAATTTGAATCAAATTTAAAATTTATTATTTTCCTACTATAAAATAAAAATAAAAAAAATTTATATCATACGTGTAGTGCAAGTGTCTATTAATTATATAAAAAAAAAAAAAAAATGAAAAAATATTGATTAGATTTCAAGTTATTTCATTTGTCAGAACTCCGTGGGACACTCTGTATATATATGTTTTTGTATTAGGAAAAACAAATATTATATTATTAAAAAATTGAATCGTTAAATAAAATATCAACAAATGAATGTTTTTAAGTTTTGTTAATTAACTTAAAGTGTATACTTAAAAATACAAGTTCAAATAACTGTGATATTAAATTAGCAAATTAATATTGAAAATTTAAAACTTGAAACTATGTATTTGTTTTTTATTATTTAAAAAAACATTATAATTCTATGTAATTTTGTTTCTCAATTCATTCATATAATTTTTCATTTTTAATTAATTTACTTGTAACTTAATAAGACCAGTATTAATGTATCAATAAATATTTTATAAATTGTTTAATTTATTAAATTTGTAATTTTAAAAAAATTTAACAATTTAGAGATGTATTATTATTTTTATTATTTAAGTATTAATATTGTTTCATTTCATATTAAATGAGTTATTCATAGAAGTATACAAGGTGTATAAACTCTAATGACTAAGAATTTGTATAACCTATAGTGACTTATACTTACACTAATTTAACCAAAAAAAATTATCTTAATTAAATCATATTGCAGTATATTTATAATATTTTATTATGGTAAAATCATCTAACTATTTATTCTAATTGATAAATAAGCCAAAACGTGTTTACATAATTCTAAAAAAAAAAAATAAAACTATGCAAAAGCTAAGAAGTATTGTTTTTTTTTTTTTAGAACAATATTAATATATCGAGGAATTTTTTCCCATTACCACGAATTAAATATTTTCTTAAATACCTAATAAAATAGTTGTAAAAAAAATGTGCTATTTAATAAAAATATTGTGAGTGACATTGGTATTTACTATATGTTCTTGTGATTTTAATTTATCCTAGAGTAGTTCATAAAACAAAACATAACATATAAGTTTGTTGAGTAATGATTAAATATCAAATAATATTCTTAATTAATAAGCAAATCAATGATATTGGTATATTCATCATTATAAAAGTTAAGTTTATAGCGACAATTAGTATGTATAGAAACAAAAACAAATAAATAAATTATTTTTGTATTATAATAACTAAATATCAAATAAATCAAATCTTCTTTATATTGTCTAATAATCTACCTTGTTAGCTAACCCATAAAAGATTCTTGAGAAGAGAATTGCGTTGAATAATTAGTCCGTTAGGAGCTAGTATATTTCACTGCTTTACCGCACTTATGTCTTTTTGAATATTGTATTAAACGAATACAAATCGATATGCTCCAATTCTTCCTTAAAAACATTAATAAGTACTTAGTAAGTTTCTAAATGTTTCTATCGTGTATGATATAACTGTTTTTTTGAGTGTAGGTAAACGATGACATTAATGTACATATACACATATACAATATTTCAAAGTATAATTTAAATTTATTTGAAATACAATTAGCATTAATAATCTAATATGATTTTCCAGTCGCTTCACGGTTGTGTTCGTTAATCAGAAGCCTTTTTGACCTTATCACAAGCGTACTGATAGCACCATCTGATATCAACAACAGATAGCCGACATATCGTTGGTCACACACGGTATATTAAAACGAAAACAAATTTTTAAATTATAATTTCCGGTCTTTGGCCTTTGTCATGAGGTTTCTGCATACCCCGTCAACAGCACTGTCTGTTCTCTTGCATTAAGCGTTGTTTTGTCGTCACTCGTCCGTGATTTTTACTTTTTACTTCTGAGCTGTTTCCCTGCCGTTCGTATCTATTGTCGTATTGAAATATTACCTCTAACCAACAGCCATGTCCACATTATTGGTAATCGAATCAGCCAAGGCTGGTCTGGTGATCGGCCGTGGTGGGGCCACAATCAAGAACATCCAACATGACAGTGGTGCGATAGTAAAGATGACCGACGGTGACACAGCAGACACGCAGAACGTTAAAATAATCGGCAGTGAAGACGCTCAGCGTTTGGCCAGTGGCATGATTGAAAAGATCACTGGTAAGATTTTGCGGTCGGAAATAATTTCTACTCCACCACCACCGCCCAGGCGACAAACACGAGGTCGGGGCATGGGTAGACCGCGATCGAACAAACGGGATACGTCACCATTAGAGACATTTTCTATTAGTAACGAAATTTGGGAGGAAATCGTCCGGGAAAACAAGCAGAGGAACCTCGAGATTTTACAGTCGTTGCCGCCTATCATCAAAGACTTCTATGTGGAGCATAACCAAGTAAAAGCCATGTCTGACGAAGAAGTTCAATCGTTTAGAACTGCTCAAAATGGTATTACCGTACAGTACATAGATGGTGCTGAATGTCTACGACCAATACCGAAACCAATAAAAACATTTCAGCATGCTTTTAGCTCATACCCAAATATCATGAAGGTAATTAAAAAACAAAATTTTGCCACACCTTCGCCTATACAGTGTCAAGCATGGCCTATAATTATGAGTGGACATGACTTAATAGCAATTGCCCAAACTGGTACAGGCAAGACATTGGCATATATACTACCAGCTTTAATTCATATACTTAAACAGCCTACTCCACGCAATGAACGTATTGGACCGTCTGTAATGATATTGGGACCAACAAGAGAACTTGTATTGCAAATTCACGATGAAATAACAAAATATTTACACAGCAATATCAAACTTGTATGTGTATATGGTGGAGGGGTTTCAACACAAACCCATCAACAACTTATACAAGCTGAAAAACCAGACATTGTTGTAGCCACGCCAGGAAGGCTTAATGATTTGATTGGTATACAAGCAATTAAACTTGAACATGTATCTTATTTGGTTCTTGATGAAGCGGACCGTATGTTAGACATGGGTTTTAAAAATCAAATAGAATTGTCACTAAGACATGTGCGCCCAGATAAGCAAACTATTTTGACAAGTGCTACATGGCCGATAGCTGTCCAAAAATTGGCCAATTACTTCGCAAAAAATCCTTTACAGATAACAGTCGGTTCTCTAGATTTATCTACAGTGAATACAGTAGCTCAAAAAATTATTGTATTAAAACAAAATCAAAAAGAAGCTTGGTTATATGACTTTATTAGCAACACTCTTTCTAAGAATGATAAAGTCATAATATTTATGCGTAAGAAAACATCAGTTGACCAGATGTTTGAATATTTCAATAGTAAAAATATTAAATGCAGGTAATACAAACTAAATGATAACTTCTTATGAATTAACTTTTAAAACTAGTCTTTTAATTTTTAGAAGTATACATGGCGGAAAGTTACAAGCTGATCGTGAAACATCTTTGGCTGACATGCGTAATGGTGTTGTATCCATACTTATTGCTACAGATGTAGCATCCAGAGGAATAGATATTCATGATATCAGTCTAGTTATTAATTATGATTTTCCTGTGAATATTGAAGAGTATGTTCACAGAGTGGGTAGGACTGGTAGAGCAGGAAAAACAGGTTCAGCAATTACTTTGTTCACTGACTACGATAAATTCAATGCTTCTCCTCTTATTGGTGTTTTGGAAAAATCTAAACAACCTATTCCACCGGAATTATACAAAATGACTACTCAATAAACACCAAATTAAATATTAAAATTAATTTAGGCTTCAATAATTATCTCAAATTATTATAATTACTTTTTCATTTTCATTTTTCATTTAAATTAAATATTACTATTTTTTCATTATTTATAATAAATACTCTCATTAGTTTTATATTTATCAATATTAATAGTTTAATCGTGGAAATAGTTAAATGATTTTACAGATTATTATTTCACCAAATATTTTTCTTCTAAATTAAATAATATTTATTTTAAAATTTTATTTTTATTTATTTTTTTTTTTTTTTACATGAAAATAAAATAAAAACGATAAATATGGGGAATTTATTTGTGAAATAGATAATATTATTTGTTATAACTATTTAATTTTTTAAACAATAATTTCCATTTTTTTATTATAAGCAGATAACTAGATTGCTGTCTTCTTTTCTTTACTTCGGATGGCCTGTTATGTTCCGTTCTATAACTTGTTAAAGAGAGATGTGTACGAGTTATTTATTATGTTTGCATTCAATGAGATTTTAATTACATGATTTGAAAGGTTGAATAGAGGATTAATTATAAATTTGAATACAACTAAAAGTTTAGAAAGGATGTTGGTTATGTTTCCTAAATTTGCTTTAATCGTTTTATTTTATTTAGTTTTATTCTATGTTACATTAGCATGGAATAAAATATGTGTGTTTGTGGTATATGAAGTACTTGGCAATTAATTGTTGAACTGGAGATGTTGGAATTGTTGTGTACTGTTGTACTGTTTTGTAAACAATATAGTTCTTGTAATTTGCAAGATCATCTTTTACATAGTACGCAAATAGTAGGAGATTTGTAATTTGGTCTTTGTTGTAGTGTGATGGTTTTTGCCACATTTTATAAGTATATTATAAAAGGAATATAATTTAGCATGATCGCAAGATAAGGAACCGTTAAATTTTTATTATTTTTTTTATTTTATTTTTATGTTAAGAATGTTATTCCAAAAAGATTATTGTTCCTATTGGACTCGTGATCAACAAATAATAATGGCTGCTAGTTTTTTGATTGGTTGTGTGTGTGTAATATTAGTTACTTGCCTTACAGAATAGCTTATTTCCTCTGATGATACTAATCTGAGAAATTTCTGATGAATTGCACTTGGAGTAAATATTGTATGGAAATAAAAATTAAGTGTGCATTCTTCGGTTATTCGTGTAAGTGAAGACAAGTTATATGCTAACAGTAAAATTATTTTTATATTATTCACATTTAACAATTTAAAAGTAAAAAAAAAAAAAACTGAACTGTTATTATCAATTTTAATTACATTTTTATTTGAAAAAATTTTTTTTTACTAAATTGAGAGATATATTAACTATTTTCCACCAAGTACAGATTTTATTAAGTAATATAAAGAAATTAAGATAAACTATTAATTCAAAATTTAAAAAATGTTTTAATTTTAATATTTAATATTATTACAAATTGTCCTAAACTTCATTGTTTGTTACAGTTAAAATATATTACTTATTAGTTATCACAAATTGCTTCAATAATATTATATTAAAAACTATCTGGTATTTTTATTTTAAGACTATTTTAAATAATTTCATTATCAATTATTTAAAAAATCGCATTTTACGATTTTTTTAATTTTATAAAAATTATATTAATAACTAAATTTATGTCATACAATTTTACAAGTATCAATGTTTTTATTTTGTATTATTCTTATACTGTATCAATTTTATTAAAACAATATTATCAATTTATAAAAATGTGTATAAACTTTATTACAATATGCTCTACTAAATTGTTCTTTTTTTATCAAATTTCTTTAACTATTAATAATTATGATTAGTTTTAAATTGTTTTAATGCAAATATTTTTCACTTCAAAATTCTAATCCTGGTTTAAATCAATTTTATTTTGTTTAATAACACTTAAATAACTTTAAATCGTTTTATATGCATTATAAAATTTAAAAAAAAAATCCACATTGGTTCATTGTTAAACCAAATAAAATGGATTAAAGAAAAACACAAATAATATACGATCCAGATAGAAAAAAAAATAGTACCACACTTAAATGAACCATTTATGAACACACAACTGTTTTATGCTGAAAAAACAAATCACATTATATTTTTACCTAGCGTAGTATAGAAATTAATTCAATAATAGTAAAAAAATATGATGAATGAATGATAAAAATATGAAGATTCAAGAAATAAATATTACATACCAATAAATAATGGATTGGACCTATGATTAAATATGAGTTTAAAATGTATGCCCATATTTAATTATTTGATTAATTATTAAATTATTAAATAATTTTTCTACTTAAACAAAATTAATGTAATAGAAAAATCGTAAAATTTAAGTTTTAAAATAAAATATGATTGAAATGAATTTAAAATATAAACAATTATTTAATTTAATCAAAAAAATTATTAATTAATAATTATTTAATTCAATATTTTGTTGCAATGCATTTGTACATTTATTTAATTTATAACTGTGTAATTAATTAATATTTTTATTATTTTTTATTTATTTTTTTGTTGTATTATTTAAATATGAGAAATAATAATTATTAAAATCTAATGGTGTATCACTATCAGACAATTAGCATGCACCAATAAAGATCATATTGAGGTTTTTACTATTCTTTTTTTTTTCTAACAACTTAAAATATTAAATTCAAAAAATATATTTATGTTGCCAGAGTTAACACTATTACTACTACTATATTATTGTTTGTAAATAATTCAAAATTCTATCTTATGATTTCTGATTAGTATGAAAGAAAATCAATTGCAATAATGATGATAATAGGTAAATTGAAACTATATTTTTGTTTAAAGTAAAGCAAATAACACGGCTATTCAGAAGATTGATAAACAAAACATGGGAGTTAACATTAATGTTAATGAAATAGTAAACTCAACATGTTAAGGTATTTTTATAATTTTTGTACCTTCATTATACTTCATATTAAAACAGTATATTATAATTTCATGGTGTATTGATCATTATAAAGTAACATTGATTAGGTGATATGTAAAGTTATATAATTATTAGGTCAACATTGACAAAATGTATATGATAATAGCTATATTATATAATTTATAACAATATAAGTCTTGTAAAATAAAATTTAACATAAAATATATATATGTGCGTTTTGTGCATAATTGTTCATGATAACATTATATAGGAAATTTATAAGCAATTTATTTGGAAAGATTAAACAGTCATAGAATATTTAGAACATTTTAAAAATGGTTCATGAATACATTATACACATTGTTCAATAATATTTTAAAACATCTAAAAAAAAAATTATTTCCACTAAGAATTATGTCATACATATGGCAATAGCACCCAAAAAAGATCTGAAACTCAATTTAAGTATAGAGTATTTCATCACCGCTGAGAAATATCTATGTCATACAGGTATAATAATTATTGTAAACTAATATATATTTTTTATAGAAGAATTTGAAAAATAATTCAACACAAATTTCTGTTAACTAAAATATTTGTTATTTTAACAGTTTTAAAAGTTAATAATTATTTTTGAATTTATAAATATAGTTAGAATACTGAGTATTTGAGTACGCTCAAGTGATTTTAGAGTAAAATTTCAAATATTTTTTATCATTAACAAGTCTGAAATATATCAAATAACTGAATATTTGGAGAATAGACCTTTAAGCCAAAAATAGAACTATAATTTTTATCCACTTTTCAATAAAATATATTTTTGAATGAGATTAGCATACAATAAAATATTATTTATTTTTATACCTGTATTCTTATTATAAATTATACATCTTAGCTAAGTACATTAAAAACAATACTTAGAATTATTGAAATAGCTACAAACAAAAGACGGTGATAACATAGTAAATATTGACTCTTTGAAATTAACCAAAAATAAAATTTGTCCTTAACTAATTTTTAGGTATATAAAATAATTTACACATAAGTATATTATATTTAGGTAATCAATTTCAAACAAAAACAAAATCATTTATACAATAACTTGGAGATAATTTTAAATTTAAAAAATGGCATAATAATTACTGTATATAATACATTTTCAATGCACAGCCTGTATAAATAAGTAAAGTACAGTCACCATATCACCCGAGATAAAATTTAGGCATTATACTATACCCTATGAAAAATATAAAATTTAACATTAATAACTAAATTGTTTCAAAAGCCTTAGTTATGAGAAAATTGAGATTATCTGTTAGTTAATTTCTAGTGATTTATTTTTATTCGGAGGGAAAATAAAGTCTAAGCCCTTTAAGCCAAACTCTACGCCCAAGAAGCACGCAGCATTAGCAGGGAATGCTCGGAGCATAACTGGTGTCACACCGGCATACAATGCTTTCAGTCCTTCTTCTCTGTATAGTTTTGCAAATACGTCTCGAACGCCTCTCGGATACATTCCTTCGGGTGCTGCAAGAACATAATAATTACGTCAATAAAAAAAAAAAAACAAAATGGAAAGTCACTGCTTAGATATTATAGTATTATACCTAGTATATAACTATATAAGCGTACTTTGCTGATATGAATGCAGGTCAGCTTAATAGATGTGTAAAATTTGAATGTTTTAAACTTAGATTCAAAAAAATATTATAGTTTTAAAATTCCTACATCTATATTATATTATGTAAGACATAGGTAGGTAACTAAAGGAAACGCCCAAATTAAATCCAATATCTCTGCAATAAGTTTATATTGTTACAGTTGCTTGTGAGTAAATTTGTGTTTATGTGTTGGAAATGCACATTTAATTTTTAAGTATAATTTTTTTTCTCGGTATCATAAAATTCGCAACGATTTTAAACAAACATACGAAATGTAATTTGTGTAACGTGTTTCGAAATCTATTTTATGTAATAAGATCAGGTATTTATATTTTTACGCTGGTCGGAATATTTAGGTACTTAAATAGTGAAATAATGGTTATACCAACCGATTTGTAAACGACTCTTGAGCACATCCGCTGGCATAGCAATTAACCAGTTCAGTATACCAGCCATTCCTCCAG